GTTAAATGGTTAGATTTTATATGATTAAATCTAATTGGGTTATTTTTGGGCCTAAAGAATCATAATTATTTTTAATAAATACAGCATGATAATTTAATCAAATAGAAACTGCTTTAATAATCAAAAAGTAAACTTTTAAGTGTAGGGATTTCCAATGGGATTGGTATTGACCCTTAGGAATTTATAAATTTTAAAGGAGGTCTGTGAGAAAATTAGATACATATTGTACTGTACATGCATATAATATTTTAATATTGTTTATTTAATAAATACAATCCTTTAAAATTTCTTGAAAATATTTTCATTATTATTTTCAAAACTTTCCAAAGACAAAAAATTTATTAAAAAAGTGTGTGTATGTGTGTGTGTATATATATATGGGAGAATGAAAATAAATTTTCCTTAAAAGGATCAATCAATACATGAAAAAGATTGGAAATCTGTGTTATTATTACTTTAGATCTTTATGACAACTTTCAAATGCATTTCCTAAACAGAATTTAGCAATAGAATAAAATATGTTTCTATTTGTTTTTGGGAGTTGTTTTTTTTCTTAATGATGGTGATGTAGTTCTGAGAAATTTGGAAGCTAAATTAACATCTTGTAAAGGCATAGAAAAAAGAAATGTCCTATAAACATGTAAATGAAACCTGGTTTTTGAAATGCATTCTCAACATCAAGCTGTCTGTTTTATTGTATTGCTTTCCTGACAATGGAACTTCTGAATGCATTACAATTTGAAAGTACTACAATGTGTGTGTGTGTTTTTTTTTTTTTTGTGAACTTTTATTAGTTTTTTTATCCTTCATTGAAGCAGTTTCTATTTGTTAACAATTTTTGGAGATATTTTTCATCAAAAGATTGGTTGATAATAAATGTTTAAAGAAAATAATTATTACTGATATTTTTTATTATTAAATTTGAGAATCACTGAAAATAGATTAGAAAATAGTTATAATAAATATCTCACCATTTATTAACAATAACTACAACAAATAATCATTTAACATTTTTAGTTACTGTCAAAAAAGAATGAAATTAATAGCATACAATCTGTATAATTACATTACAGATTGTAGCAGTTTACAGCAGTTTACAGCATAATGTATTTAACATTATGCTGTTTACAGCATAATGTATTTATACATTATGCTGTAAACTATGTATTTAACATTATGCTGTTTACAGCATAATGTATTTATACATTATGCTGTAAACTGCTTTTTAATGAACACAAATGATTTGAAAAAATGTTCAGTTTGATATTTTTATATCCTATAAAATTTTGTGAAATTAACATAACATTCATCATTATTTTCAGTAATATATATAATTAATTAATTAAATGTGTTATCTGTTTATTTGATTTATACTTGAATTTCAAATCATACATTATTTCATGCTTAAATTTAGTTGCTAAAAATTTTTCAGCAGATTGTTACTCATATAGCTTAATTTACATATCATTGCTTTATGGAACAGCTAAAATAATCTATTATTTAATAAACATTCTTTATATAATTGAAAATGAACAAATATTTGTTAAGAAAATTAATGAAGTTCTAAAACTCTACACATTTGAAAAAATAAGTACCTATAAATATTTAATTCCCATACTTATTAGACTTTGGTTTTCTAATATCATCTAATTTTTTTTAAATTATTGTAATGACCTCATTTAGAATTAATCCCAATCTTCTTTTTTATAATCGTAAAACATCATTAATATTTTAAAAAATCTCTAGACAAATTATAATTGTGCATTTAATTATTAAAATCCTTTTGAGGAAAATTTTACTGTTAAAGTTTTTTAATTATTATTACAATCAATTGTTTTGTTAACAGAAATTTACAAAGCTTATACTTATTTTTGTTTTAGATTTCGTACAGATGAAGTTGAATGTATATATTACTCTTTTTTTATTAACAAAAAATATGGCTAATTTTATTATCAAGACTATCTTTTTTAAAATTAACACATAGAAAAATAAAATATTGACACTCTTCATCCATTAATAAAATTTTATTACTCAAATGATGGTCTGATTCTTTCTGTGGGAATTGAACTGTGCGTCATTCTTGTAATTTAGCCTTTATGGCTAGTCATTTGTGATCCGTAATTCAACAAAATGAAATTGCTAATGCAGATTGTATCTATATCCAAATATCAAAAATATATAAGACTGAAATCATCCAGTCAAAAGTTTAATCTGATCAGAAAATTTGAGGATATTTTAATTATCATGATTAATATTTGATAATATGATTTTTTTTACCTTGTTATTCTGAAGATTCATTTTAATATATTATCAAATGACATTTTCAAAGATATTTCTAATTGCTAAATACTTTATCTTGAAAAAATAATGTCATTTTTAAGTTATATTTAATATTTTCTTTTTTTTCTATTCAGTGTAAAATGAAAGATTGAAAATAATTAAATAAAAATATATAAGATTTTTTCAAACTCTATCTGCGTTTTAGTAAATACAGCATGATAATTTTATGATACTATTGAATTCTTTTCCAAAAAAACATCAAATCTTGTATATTTACTTTGAAAATGTAACCTATTTAGTCATCATCTAATCAATTAAATGCAATCGATTAAGTAAATTTTTAATTAGGAAAAATATTCAAATAACTACAAATTCCATTTAAAAGTTAATTTGATATCTTGAAAATTTATACAAATAAAAATTAATTGATTTTAAATTAGTATATTCCTATTTAACTTCAAATGTAACTTGTTTTTTGATTTTAAAAATTTATAATATAAATTAATTTACAATATGCTAAATATTTAATTTAATTTAACTTGTGTTTTTTCTTTTCTAATTTAATATTTAATTTAATATACTTTAAAATTCTCTCGTCATTTTGAAACATTTAAATAATTCAAAAAAGTAGCATACTTCTTCAAATTATTGCATTAATGGTTTTATTTTTAAATACTAATTTTATTAATTTTTTTATACATAAAGTTTTTTATTTAAATAATTAGAAATATCATTTTGCTATTTATTATATATGTTTAATCAAAGCCTGAATTTAGATAAACTAATTAATTAGCTTAAGGTTAATTTTTAATCTATAATATTAATAAGTTTAATTATTAAGTTAAATGGTTAGATTTTATATGATTAAATCTAATTGGGTTATTTTTGGGCCTAAAGAATCATAATTATTTTTAATAAATACAGCATGATAATTTAATCAAATAGAAACTGCTTTAATAATCAAAAAGTAAACTTTTAAGTGTAGGGATTTCCAATGGGATTGGTATTGACCCTTAGGAATTTATAAATTTTAAAGGAGGTCTGTGAGAAAATTAGATACATATTGTACTGTACATGCATATAATATTTTAATATTGTTTATTTAATAAATACAATCCTTTAAAATTTCTTGAAAATATTTTCATTATTATTTTCAAAACTTTCCAAAGACAAAAAATTTATTAAAAAAGTGTGTGTATGTGTGTGTGTATATATATATGGGAGAATGAAAATAAATTTTCCTTAAAAGGATCAATCAATACATGAAAAAGATTGGAAATCTGTGTTATTATTACTTTAGATCTTTATGACAACTTTCAAATGCATTTCCTAAACAGAATTTAGCAATAGAATAAAATATGTTTCTATTTGTTTTTGGGAGTTGTTTTTTTTCTTAATGATGGTGATGTAGTTCTGAGAAATTTGGAAGCTAAATTAACATCTTGTAAAGGCATAGAAAAAAGAAATGTCCTATAAACATGTAAATGAAACCTGGTTTTTGAAATGCATTCTCAACATCAAGCTGTCTGTTTTATTGTATTGCTTTCCTGACAATGGAACTTCTGAATGCATTACAATTTGAAAGTACTACAATGTGTGTGTGTGTTTTTTTTTTTTTTGTGAACTTTTATTAGTTTTTTTATCCTTCATTGAAGCAGTTTCTATTTGTTAACAATTTTTGGAGATATTTTTCATCAAAAGATTGGTTGATAATAAATGTTTAAAGAAAATAATTATTACTGATATTTTTTATTATTAAATTTGAGAATCACTGAAAATAGATTAGAAAATAGTTATAATAAATATCTCACCATTTATTAACAATAACTACAACAAATAATCATTTAACATTTTTAGTTACTGTCAAAAAAGAATGAAATTAATAGCATACAATCTGTATAATTACATTACAGATTGTAGCAGTTTACAGCAGTTTACAGCATAATGTATTTAACATTATGCTGTTTACAGCATAATGTATTTATACATTATGCTGTAAACTATGTATTTAACATTATGCTGTTTACAGCATAATGTATTTATACATTATGCTGTAAACTGCTTTTTAATGAACACAAATGATTTGAAAAAATGTTCAGTTTGATATTTTTATATCCTATAAAATTTTGTGAAATTAACATAACATTCATCATTATTTTCAGTAATATATATAATTAATTAATTAAATGTGTTATCTGTTTATTTGATTTATACTTGAATTTCAAATCATACATTATTTCATGCTTAAATTTAGTTGCTAAAAATTTTTCAGCAGATTGTTACTCATATAGCTTAATTTACATATCATTGCTTTATGGAACAGCTAAAATAATCTATTATTTAATAAACATTCTTTATATAATTGAAAATGAACAAATATTTGTTAAGAAAATTAATGAAGTTCTAAAACTCTACACATTTGAAAAAATAAGTACCTATAAATATTTAATTCCCATACTTATTAGACTTTGGTTTTCTAATATCATCTAATTTTTTTTAAATTATTGTAATGACCTCATTTAGAATTAATCCCAATCTTCTTTTTTATAATCGTAAAACATCATTAATATTTTAAAAAATCTCTAGACAAATTATAATTGTGCATTTAATTATTAAAATCCTTTTGAGGAAAATTTTACTGTTAAAGTTTTTTAATTATTATTACAATCAATTGTTTTGTTAACAGAAATTTACAAAGCTTATACTTATTTTTGTTTTAGATTTCGTACAGATGAAGTTGAAGTTTGCTGGAGAGACTAATAAATCATGTAAAAATGTTTAAAATTTTTATTGTTTAATAGGAATGTTATATTCTTTCAACAGTTTTCTCAGAAACAGACTATGCATTAATATAAAAACGTTGACATCATGATGCACTAAATGGCACAAACATTTTTATAAAGATCCATTTATAGAAGTCATAACAATACAGTGCAAATTACATCAACTGGATATTGCACATAAGCTGGATAACAGAATAATTTACATCTATGTTACAAAAAAAAATTGTAAATTATTTCTATAGAATAAAACATGCACCTTAAATACACAACTTTGGCAATATTTATTACATAATTGTACAACATCCCTGTTTTTGAGGTTCTCCTACAATTTCTGATGGATCACTGCAGTATCTTCTCAATGATATGGTAGGTGAGGGTGGAGGCTCGTATCTGTATGTTGCACTAAAGTGATGACCACTGTTTGAAAGTTTGCCATTTACATCTTGTTGTGATGATAAAGACAAGCTGCTGCGCGTTCGCATATCCGATCGGTGCTTTTTTAAGTCTGCCAAAGTGCATGCACTTGGACTGTAGGTGGGACTTGTATTAACAGTAACATGAATTTCAACTTTTACAGACTCTCCTTGATTAAATGCTGGCACAGATGTTTGAGACACATCAACATAACTAGGAGGAGGTGACGAAGTAACTGAAGTAGTAGTAATATCTTCCGAATTTACGGAATATTCTTTGGCATCTTCGTGTGAACTAATTGTGTCTTGTGACTGAACTATATCTTGTGTTAAAGATTCTTTTTCACCTGCTAATGCTTCATCAAACACTTTAGTTACATAAGCAGCATCATCACAGGCTTCACTGCTGTCATTTATGCCCTTACATTTAATTCTTTGAAATGTATCTTTTGTATTTATTGGTGGAAGAATTACTTCAATGTCATCAATTCCAAGAAGATTATCATTTTGTAATATTCTTCCTTCTTCATCCTAAAACAAAATGAATTTAATATTAATAATAATAATAATAATAATAATAATAATAATAATAATATGGTATTCATGTTTGTGTGCAGACAAATATAAACCCGATGCTTAGCAAAGACGCCTGCAATGCTAAAAAGTTTGTTTGTGCACACATATTGCATAAAGCTATGGCACTACTATAGTGTGTAAGCCCCAGCTTATTCATAAGTGCCCATATTCAGTATATATAGTACAAGTCTATGCTTTTGCTTTCATTAGAGAGGTTGTGGCTGAAGTTTTCATCTCTCTAAAACACAAACATTGAGTGCCGCCATCTTGTAATCCTAGAAGTTTGACAATGGCATTTGGAACATCAAGCATGGCGAGTAGAAGAGTTTGGCTTAAACATTTGCATTTTTCTGTGTTTTGATGGTTAATCATTATTTTAATAAAATACATTATAAAGCATTTGTGAATAAAATTGTAAAGAAACAAGCGACTTTAATCCAGAAATTATTTAATTATTTAATTTTTTTCAAGTGATGTGAAGTGCCTTTAGAATTTTTCTATATTTGTGTTCATAATAGCTTATCATAATTCTGTAGAAGTAGGTTTGTTCTTTCATGCATCTTCTACCATCAACAGCATAATATGTTTGCAAATATCTAAAAATAATTTCCCTGGGCTGCTTTCAGATTTATATAAGTCACAACTTCCCTCAACAAAAGTAAGTTGTGAGAATAGGCAAAACGCATTTGAATTGTCCTACTATTATATCTTACGGGAGGAGATATGATGCTAATAACCTTTGTCATTCTTAAATATTTCCGCTATTTTTCAACTATATCCCTTGAATCTGTGCCACATGTTCATGTCGCACACTACGTGTTTTAACGTCAAACATATACTTCTGTTTGCCGTACAAATTTAAAGTTTGAACATATTATATATAACAGAGAGGTTGAGGCTGTGTTATAGTTCATGTGTAAAATAACAGCAAATAATCATACTCCAACCAGCACTATTTGCTAAAGTTGAGAAATATACCAGCCTTTCAACCCTTGTCCCTTGTATTAACATTAGACAGAGAGCATAATCTGTTAGGAATACTTGAAATGATTATATTGTGTCAGTAGTACTAGCCACAGTTTCAAATTACACTTTTGTGATGCCTGTGCAAGAGGACTACTGGCACAGTAAGTATTCTCCACAGATGCTTTATTTTGTGGTCAAGTTCTGCATATTTACTAGTTTTTCAGTATATGTATTACAAAATAACATGCAAATGTTTTTGGTCATCTATGTCTGTGCATGATGGATTTTGTTTTATGTTGTTATAGCTCATTCATAGTACAGTGGAACCTCGGTATACGAGCTTAATCCGTTCCTGATGTTTGGACTTATACCAAACCAACCTTTCCCATAAGAAGTAATGTAAAAATGATTAATGCGTTCTCACGTAAAAAAAAAAATAGCTGGCTTTAAACACCTTGCTTTCCTGGCTAGTTCTTGCTGGTCTCGTGAAAAATCAAGCATGGATCTTTTTAGTTTTCTCACAAATAATTGCTTCTAATATGCTGTTTGTTGCCAGCACACTGTTTTTCAGTTATCTAAAGCAAAAGCAATTCCTCAACATGATCTAATGTCTTTGATCTCTGTTTAGAAATTGATTTAACCCCTTTCGCAACGTTAGCTGATTTAATAATATCTTTATTTTTCATGATTGTCAATATCGTTGTTCTCGGAATACAGTGTGCAACAGTTAAATCTCAAACACGCATGCCACCTTCATATTTCTCAATAATCTTTTTTTCAGTTCCATTGCAATTCTAGTCATTTTTTTTAGCTTTCTGTTGCTTTTCATTTGCCTTTTTTTGAAATTCATGATTAATAAAAATAATAAAATTTTACTTACAAATTAAAATCAAAAGAAATTTAACAAAGTTATAAACCGTGGCACCGTGAATGTCTAGTCTGGCCTAGTACCGTGTTTCCCCGAAAATAAGACAGTGTCTTATATTAATTTTTGCTCTGAAAGATGCACTAGGTCTTATTTTCAGGGGATGTCTTATTTTTTCCATGAAGAAGAATTCACATTTATTATTGAACAAAAAAAATTCCCAAGTCAAACTGAACTTAAATAAAACCAAAGTGAACTTACGAAGTTTCTGTGCTGGAGTGTACTTCCCACTCTCGCTTCAACTTAACCTTTTTATAATGTCGACATTGATGTCAAATTAGTGCTTATTGAATCGTAGCACTATGCAAATGTGATGTGGCGTGATTCCTGGCCAACCAATTAGCCATCACCAGCCATAACATTATGCAAATCTGTGATACCCAAGCCATAGTTTTATGCAAATCATGCCATGTGGCGTGATTGACTGCTGACCAATCAGTGGCCACTTACAAGCATCTGTTGATGACTGTTATGAGTAAAAAAAAAAACTTTGCTAGGTCTTACTTTCGGGGGAGGCCTTATATTTAGCAATTCAGCAAAATCTATGCTAGGTCTTATTTTCGGAGAAACACTGTACACCGATAGTGCAACGTGTTCATAGATGGTGCGTATAATTGAATTAAGTCGTATACCGAGGTACCACTGTATATTTTATGTACAGTGTATGGGTTCTGGATATGTAGTTTGTGTTTGTGTGCAGGCAAATATAAACCCGATCATTAGCAAATAGACACCCACAAATGCAGTAAATAATCGGGCTATATTTTAGAAACAATTATATTATATTTATAATTTCATAATTATTAATTTTAATACGAGATGGCACCTATGAATTTGGCACTAGAGGGAGGAATTAGATGCCATCTCGTATTAAAATTAATAATTATGAAATTATAAATATAATATAATTATTAGTTCCAAAATATAGCCCGATTATTTATGGCAGTTGTGGATGTCTGTGTGCAGGCTTTTGATGCATTGAAATAACTAAATAGCAAAGATAATAAAGTAGTCTGTTGTTAAAAGCTAGCAATCCTATGTGAGATGTAATTTCTTGTATGGCAGTCCATCCTCCAAAGAGATATCTATGAGTCAAGCCAGCAGTTTTTTCAGAGCACCTACCATGAAGCTCCTTCTAAGCACAAGATTGCCAGTTAGTGCATTCTGTTTTGCATAGGTTTTTCTACAGAGAAGATTTACTATATCTGTGAGGCCTTGTCCTCCTCCTTCGTGAAGAAGAGTCAGACTTTCTAAGGACAACTTAGGGTGGTGTTTGTTGCATTTTCTTCTGAAGTTATTCTAGTTTTGTGTGTGTCCAATGTATAACTCCAAATGAGAGCTGAATGCAAAGCATACATTGTCCCAGTAATGTTATTAGTATTGAGTTTATTATTATTAACTAACCTCTTCATTTCTGTTTTGTTCTTGTTTTTCTTGACGAATTCTGGCTTCTTCCTGTGCCTCTCGTCGTGACATTAAAGATTTATCTCTAATACTTGTTCGTCTCACAGACTGACTAAAAATTTTTAAAGAAAGAAAACTGTTATTACATAGTGATAAACTAGCAATAAATATTAATTAGAATTTAAATATGTATTGATAACATCATCCATTGTTTTTGACTTATAGAACTAGAAAAAATATTAATAAAAGTTGCTTGGTTTTTTTGGTCATAAGTTTAATCTTAAAATAAATCCCAATATACCAAAACTCTTAATTTTATATTCAATTTTCACTAAATTGAACTTTGCAGAAATAAAAGTCTACTGCTGCTGTTATTTCTTTAAATTTTCATTGATCTAGACATCAAACACACAACTATAAATGACAAATTCTCTGAGTTTCACTAATCTTATTAGATTCATTTTATACTTGTATAGATTTTAAGAATAAATATGTGAATCACACAGCATTTTATTAGAAAAAATACAAACATTTTACAATTTCAGACATGGTTGATCATAAAATTATAATCATTTGAATCCTGTGTGACGGAATAATCAGCATAATTATACAATGGAATTTTAAGACTTAATGCATCCTAAACAATTGTTAATGAAATCTCTCATTGTTAATCATTTAAAATTGTATGATGATGATGATTTATAATACAATTTAGAACAATAATTACAAATCAATTATGTATTGTGTATGCTGGAAATATGAGAATATAGAAACACTATCTGTAGCTGGAACAAAATTATAATACAAATTTATAGTAAAGAAGAAAAATCTAATTATTATATACAAACATTAATATAATAATTTTTAACAGAAAATTTTATATAAGATCTTGAATATAATTAGGCATAAAAAGTATTTATTTTCAGCTTTGAAAAATTTCTAGATCTGGTTGCTATTGTTGACATTCTACTTTAATATATTCATGAAAAGACCTTTGTAAAACAAAATAATCATTCAGCAATAAAATTTTTAGTATTTTAAAATGCTATAAAGTATTTATAAAAGAAAGGATCAATAAAAATGGCAATGTTATGATTTTTCAAGAATTTATTATTAATAATAAATTTGTACATTAGATATGTGTGTTTTAGTTATTTCACTTAAAATTGACTATTAGTATGAAAGATAATATTTACTCCATTTTAGATTTTTTCAAACATTTATAAATTTTTCATGTAATATAATGTTTTTTTGTTTAACTTTATTTTAAAAATAATAAAACAGAAATCCTTCAAGGGAAAAAATTTAAATAAATGTGCCTTTCATCATAAATCTAAATTATTTCATGCTTTCAACCTGATCCATCCTCTCCCCAGCTCACCTATAAGGAGGAGGATGGACAAGGCTTTGTTTTTATGGCATTAAAAAGGCCCCCTGGAAATAAAACTTTTATATTAGAAGCATATTTTTTGACTTATTGACTTTTTAACACTAAGTGAAACACCCTGTATAATAGATGAAATATAATATTCTATCTCTAAATCCTCTATAATTGAAATTAAGGTTTTAATATATAAATGTTTCATAATAAATAAAATCTTAATTCTTTCATTTATTTGTATAACACAATAAAAAGTTTTTCAACTGATCCTACTTACCTTCTTGTATTCTGACTTTGTGTTCTTCTTAACTTCTGAGGTTGAGAAGCACGTTTGATTTCTTGCTCGTTCTTTAGCTGCATAAGTCTATCTTTCAGATCAGGATCTTCACATATATCTATTTGATTAAATAATTAAATTCAATTACAAAGATATTTATAAAGTTAAATGATGATGAAATTTGCTTAAATGATAAATACCAAAAGGTGTTTCTCCATTTTTAGTCTTTGCATTGAGATCAGCACCTGCTTGAACTAGAAGTTCTATGACATCAGGCTATATGTAAAAAAGTAAAATTTATTCAAAAAACATCATAAATAGTATTATCAGGGCCATTGACAGGAGGAGGGGACACTGGGGGTTTTCCTAGGCTTGGAAAAAACTTAGAAAATAAAATTTTAGTTTACAAGATAGAAACCATTATGGGTCTCTGTTAGTAAAAATAAGACAGACATTGCTTTTCATTGATAAAGAAAACATTATACCATTTGTTCAAAAAGGAGGGCCCACTTTACTCCCTAGCCCCATACAAGCTCTCAGTGGCCCTGAGCATTGTTATTAGTTTTGATAATTTTGTAAAACAAAAATAACTTACATGACCCCAACATGCAGCAGCATGAATTGGTTGCCAGAAATCATTGTCATTTATATCGGTAGGAACGTGATGATCTAACAAAAATTCAACAACTGCTACATAGCCGTTTGCCGCAGCAATGTGAAGCTTTATAAAATATTAAGTTATAATTAAAATTAATAATAATAAAACAAAAACACATTTAAAGTGAGATCACAACATAAATAACTCAAACTCCATTAAAATTTCCATAAATGATACAACTGTTAAAATGTAAAAACAAGTGTTAAAAGCATATCTAGTATATTTTAACAAACATCAGCCAATTTATTTATTTGTCTTAGAAGTTAGTTAGAATATTATAGAATATTTGTCAAAATAATAATTTTAAAATGCAATACATGATGTTATTTGTTTAAAGCCAGTTCTCTACGTTGGTTGCATGTTATAACACTTAAAATCAAAGAAATATGGTATTCACTTCTAAATTAATTTATGATGTGTATAACATATATATATGTATATTTTAAATCTAATTGTATAACATACATATATATATATATATATATATATATATATATATATATGTATTTTAAAATCTAAAATAGATAAGTAAAATTAGAAAGTCTGTTTTTTAATTGAAGACATCTTCCATTGCAGTCTAAAACAATATATGGTTTATTCTTGATGACTGCCAAATATATTATGCACTACTAACAGATATGATCCACGAGCACTGTAACCAAAAATATCTGTTTAATTTAAACACTCATTACTTAATTAACCACCTTTTTAATGTTTAAAATGTCTTTCAGACAATATTATGATGCAGCATTAAAATGAAAAGTTATTGTCTATGCCAAAGAGCATGGAAATAGGTTATGCTAGACAACTCTGTTTCAAAACTTAAAAAGGGATAAATAATTGTATACTTGAGAATTCAACTTAAAAATAAAAAACCATTTAACTATCCAACATAATTCTTTAATAACATAAAAACGTTTTCAAACGCATTGAGCGTTCATCATCTCTCTAATTCAAAACGGGAAATTCGAAAAATTACGCAATCGAATTTCAAATAAACGGTTATGTAAAAAATTAAAAGGTAACATGTTATAAACGAAACTGATATACAAATTTCCGTGTATTTAATAAATAATAATAAAAATAAAAAAAAAATAAATAAATAAATAAAAAATCTATCCAAGATCATCCTAAGTCCGATTAAGCCTTTTTTTTTATAGATCTATGCCAATTCGTCGCAAAAAGATTTCCAAGCAGACGACAGCCCGTCTGCATCCCTATAGTTGATACACTTCGTGCTCTTCTGCGCCCTGTGGATTTCCATCCTTTTCGAGATATTTTACTGCATATCTAGATCTAGTAGCTTTTATTATAGAGGCCTGGTCCCAGAAAACAGTAATGCCTTGTTTGTTGACAGTACAGTCCTTGCTACTTATGCTAAATTTGTATGCGGAAATTTGTATATCAGTTTCGTTTATAACATGTTACCTTTTAATTTTTTACATAACCGTTTATTTGAAATTCGATTGCGTAATTTTTCGAATTTCCCGTTTTGAATTAGAGAGATGATGAACGCTCAATGCGTTTGAAAACGTTTTTATGTTATTAAAGAATTATGCTGGATAGTTAAATGGTTTTTTATTTTTAAAAAACTTAAGAATAATTTCTAAGGGAAAAATTTTAAGGTTTTTTTTATTTTTTTAAATTCAATTTCAGGCTCATAGTCAACAAAGTATGGTATTAATTAAGTGATTTTACATATAAATTAGAATATTTCCATAACTTATTATTATAAGTATGAAATGACACATAAGAACTTTCCTGTTTTGTCTTTGTATTAATTAATTTCAACTATATTTCTCAATTTAGGCATGATATGAAACTGATAAAAAGTTACAATCTTTAAAATCATACCTTTTAGTATAAAAAGTTTATTTTAAAAGCTATTATACATATATAAAAAAAAATAGATGATTAGATTATAGTGTTATCATTATTTTGCTGAGATCTGCACTTAATATACTTAAAATTATAAAATATCTTACAGGAGTTGCTCCTTGATGGTCCCTATATTCTAAATCATCCCCATTTTCCACAATGTACTTTAAATCAGCTAACATATTTCTTTCTGGCTGTGCGCGAGTCTCGTCAATCATCTCTTGAGTGATTCCTTGAAAATTATAACAGTTTTAAAAATAAAATGGTAACATCATTAAAATTTAATGATAAAAATAAAAATTACCTCTTTTGGCCATTTCAGATTCAATGTAATCTAAAGTTGCCTCATCTTCACAAATATCATAAGGCATGTTTCCATCAGCATTCACTGCTAACAGATCTGCATTTCTATAAAAAAAAATATATATATATATATATATATATATTATTATTGTTTATCTGATATATCTAAACAACAGTAATTGTAAATTAAAGTACTTACTTGCTTATAAGATATTTTACTAGATGTAAATGCCCACAAGTAGCTGCAGCATGTAAAGGAGTCCATTGTTCACTATCTTTAGCATTGACATTGGCACCAAAATCAAGCAACAATTTCATCATTTCTTCACTATCATCAATACAGCACTGCATAAAATATTTTATATTTATTATTAAAATATATACAGTCAATATAAAAGTATTGTATTACCTGATGTAATGCAGTAAGACCATCTTCATTTGTAGAATCAGGACTAACTCCTAACATTAATAATCTTTGAACTGTAAATCAGAAACAAAATATGATATGAAGTAAAAGTTACATTCATATATTGCAAGTCTTCATTTAATGTTTTGTTATAATGTGTTGTCAACATTACATTAAAATTTTGTTAGTAAATAATTTCATGTACAGGATTGTACCTTATGTATTCATAATCCAAAACAATTTAATTTTTTTATGATGTATCATGTAGTAGCAAAGTTTTTTCCTAGCAAACAATTAAGAACTTTTTACTAGAAGAGGTGCAAGGAGAATTTTGGAGAAGGAATATCTTGTAAAAGATTGTTCATAGAACTCATGGTACCTTTTGATTTTTCTTCTTTGGCTTATATGGAGATGATCTGCATGACATCCAGCAGAATAAAATTTTGCCCAGAAATTTTTATTTCTAGATTTCATTTTTATCTGCCTTGGAAATTTGCTGATTACTGTAATATTACATCATCTAATCTAAATTTTAATATTTATGCAAGTGCAAAATAATAATATGCACATGTATGTAAAAATGTAGATCTCATTGTTTACTATATTTTGTTACGAAATTTTGATTAAAAATATTTCAGTATTATGAATGAGTTATTGTTTAATACAATATAAAGAAAAACCGAATCATTTGATGATTCATTTGTCAGTCTCAGCACTATTAACTATATTTCAATTACATAAAATATATTCACTGGTGGAAAATAAACAACATTACTAACTCATTTTCGTACTATGGTGCAACATAGATTTTATGGCTCTTGTGCAAAAAAAAAACCCCAAAACCAACCAACCAACCATTTACACACTATCACAGTTACTGTCCAAGTACTTTTTATGCTATTTATATGCACAGTAAGAATGTATAAAATAAATTAATGAATAATTACTTGTGTAGCTGTAAAAATAAATAGCTGTATAAACAAATAAAACACTTACCTTCATCGATATCATTTCTAGCAGCGGCTTCCAACAGCATGACACTTGGCACGAAGTGAACTTTATAATCATGTTTCTTAACTTTTTTATTCATATTCTGCTCGGTTTTCTTCCGTTTAGCGTTAACTTCTTTTTCACGATTACTCCATTTCTTAAGCTGCTGTATCCGACGTTTCTTCGCGTGTTTCAGACGTTCCTGAGTACTCATTTTTTCCACGATGGCCATCTCGGCAATAAGTTCCGAGTGATCGGCCATTTTGCCTGCTGTCGAGAGACCACGTGTTGAGATGGACAAGTGCCAAAATTGAAGTTGCTTCAGTTACACCTTATTTCATATCCGGTAACTGCCTACTAATAAAAGATACTACACGTGAGACAGAATTTTTCCTAGTATAAAATACTTTAGAGATTAAATCATTCGAATTACTTAAATACATTTTTAGCATTCGCCAATGAGTTTTATGTCAAATATTTTTTGACAATTTCCTCGTGGCAGATTAAAATAGAATTCACGATTTCTATCGTTGAACTTAACTAAAGGATTTTACTAAGACCAGCGTGAGATTAATGAAGGTATTAGAAGTAATTAAACGTAAAAGTAAAGGTAGATAGCAAAATATTTTCTTTTTAGCCACACAAAACAAAGTAATTACACTAAGTAACCTTCGGGCATTTCCGTCTCATTATTTCACAATCCAAAAATTAATCGTACTTAACAGAAAGAAAGAATTTTCAATTAAAGAAAACACCTAATTCTTCTCTAACATTAGAACTGTCTAATTAATTTTGACTTTGTACATAAAAATATTTAAATTTTATCCCGAACATCCTCGGTCGTTAGACATTTCATTTAAGTGCCAACGCACACAACACGTGATCTAATTAAAAGTCAAAAATCTGAAATTTCAATTTTTATGGCGCAACTTATCACCAGAATCCATTTTAATCGTGCACGTAATCATTCTTCTGGAAGAGAACATCGCATGTTCCGGCGATCAATAAACTTCGTGTCACGTGATTGATTGCTGTTTAAAATAATTCGTCTAGGACACATTCTGAAGATAGATAAAGGCTTCTAAATGGCCAAGCTGTTAAAAGGTACGAAAATTAAGCGTGGCACGACGAACCCTGTCTTAATTTTTCAATGCGCGAAAAATAGAGAAATATTTAAAAAAAAAAAAAGAACAGTAAAAATGAATAGGTGCGAAGAAAGTATGAGGTGATATGCCTCTAACGTCGGCCATTACCCTTTAACTAGGCGCCAGAAACTTGAAGAATTTTGTTTATTTGTTATCTTTCCTGCTGTACTAATTGTGGGTTCTGAGATAAACACACCGTAAAACACTTCATTAATTACAGGAAAAGTCATCTCGACGATTAGTAAAAATGAAATACAGTAGGCCAAATTCCTCCATTTACGCCAATTCACTTAACCGCGTTTGAAAGATTTTTAAATTTTAAATAATCAACTTTATGGAAATAAATGATGATAATTACATCAAGATGTATGTTTTTATCACCATAAACGTATATTTAAAAAAACCTTTGAGAATATGGAACAGATTCCCATTTGAAAGAGTTTTCCATGGCTCCATTTAGACGCTGTTTTCGTGGAACCAATTACTCAGAGTAAATGGAGGGATTAGTATATATTGTGATCACGTAATGCAACTGAAAAACTTATCTAAATTTCAAAACTAATGCACTCAACGACTTTTTTCTAATCGGTATTTATTGGTGTTGACACGAGCTAAGAAAGTTTTTTAAATCAAGTATAAATCAAACTTTGACCTAAATACGATTGGGATAGGCTACACGAAGGTTAACATTGATGAGATTGCTCGCTCCAGTTAATTTGCTAGCTATCAAAGTTAATACGAACACCTTCGGGTAATGAAAAACAAGATGGAGGGAAATGCCATTAAGGTGACGGATACGCATCATTTCCACACGCCGTGAAAAATTGAGTTAAATATTATCCATTTAAGAGTTTTATATATATATTGAAAATTATAATGGAATGTCACGCTGTTTTTAAAATATTTATTTCCTTTAGTAATTACGGCGTATAGAACTCATTAGGTTAAATGTGAACCTTCTAACAATGTATTTGTTAATGCGTTGGATTAAAGTATTTCAGAAAATATCCTAACGTGGTTAATATGAGAATTTACGTTATTCCATAACGTAAACTGTTACCCAGCAAATTTTATTATTGTTGATGACATAGACTAGATACATTGCAAGTAATATATACACGTAATAACACATTTCACTAATTAAAAAACAAAAAGAAACTCAACATACAAAAAAAAACTGCGTTTCTACTTTAATTTTGCAAATTTTAAATCGTATTTTCGTCTTTAGAAGTAGAATCATTCTTCGATTCTAAATGTAGAACGACAAAAAACTGCTCTCTATGATTTATTATCCATCAGAGAGAGAAATCCGGCGTGGGTTAATATGTCTAAATTTGGAGAATTAACCCCCGCTGAGAAAGTTTCCTTATTTGTAATTTACAAACATTCTGAAAGGCTGTAGAGAAAATTTTGTTCTTATCAATGGACAAAATCTTTCTAATTATACGCTTATTTAGGCCTTGGATCGTAGCAAAGAAGAACGAAGAATGATTGAAAAAGGCGTGGGCTGACAGCCAATCGTTTGTGACAGACACGGCACTGCGACCAACTATAGAAAAAAAAAGTGTCTACCACAATAAAACGCATATAGAAATCTATAAAAAAAAACTAAAGTAAAAAACCGGAAGAAAGTTTATTCTCGGTTGAATTCCCGTTTCGGATGTTTAGTGGTGGATATATTGAAATTTTTTCCTCCATTTCGTCTAAAACTATCTCCGTAATAGTGTGGAGAATTATAGTTTATATTGTTAGAAATGATACCTTTTTTTTGTGGTTTTAGATGACTGCATTTAATTGATATTCAGATCTCATCTAAATGAAAGTATTAGAAATTGCTCAGAGGAAAACAAACACAACAAACAAACTTAACGATAAAAAATGACAAAATATTAATGAATAGTTTGTATATTTTTTTGCATATATCAATCAAAATAAAACAGGGCGGAACCGTCAAAACATTATATCCGGATTGATTCCTCTACAGTTAAGTCGGCATAATGAAATATGAATATAAAGGAAGAATTATCCTATAGAAAATGAAGCAACAGACATATGCAAAGAGAATTTGCTTAAATATCAAATTTTGATCTCATTTTACGCAAATAAGTCATATTTTTATACATTTTTAATTCAAATATATAAAACAAGTTATTGGTAGACTTATCCATGACGTTATTATTTACACAGAAATTTAAAATTTTTCAGTTTTTACGAATAAACAAAAACGTTGTAAAGACCTTGAAAGCTCTTACAAAATTCTTTTAAACTTGATTCTGTAAGAATATTCGGGTCGTAAACGTGAAAAGCTAAGATATAAAACGATAAGTAATGTAGTTGTTTAATAGCCTAAAGGCCTAGTCTGAAGATAACCCGATTGAATCATTTTATAACGACGATATTAACGGAATGAATACATTACAGACCTACAAACAAACTTACGAATGAATTCGTAAATTATTATTATTTATTCGTAAATAAATAATAATAATCGTAAAGTGTGCCATTATATTTTTAGCACTGAAAGATGCTGTGTTGTATACGCACAAGGCGTTAAAATTTACTAAATTTTTTTTACAAATCATTTAAAATTTAGCGATTTATTATTATTAGACAATTTATTACTCGGATTATAACCTATACATACACGATTATAACAAAAAAAAAAAAAAACACGAAGTTAAAACAGAAAAACATTGAATAAATATGTCATGCAGAAAAACCACACGCCCTTTAAGGTTCTCGGGAGCGTCCTACATTCTACTTAACTTGACCCGAACTCAATAGGAGTATCGGGGACAAATTAAATAATATATTAAAAATAATAATTATAAATTAAAACTATAGAAACGCCCTTACAGTAGATTGTTCCTTGAGAATAAACCGATGGCCATTCGCTTCGGAACTCCATTAATTCTACCGGAAAGATATTTCGTAATACGATAGTTCAAATATTGACAAAATTTTCTAAAGATGTCAAATATAACAGAAAAAGTATTCTTCATTATGTAAAACTTTATTCGGGAATCGAAACTTTTATAATTATGTGGTTTGAATCTTTTGAAAGAAGGGTGCGGTGTATCGGAAAGAAAAGTTTTTGACAAGATAACAATGAGACAAGACACCTAAGTCACTTTACGAGACCCCATTATTACAAATCTAACTTCTGTCAAGTTTACATAGCAATCTTGACAGATAAGATTGTAGCGTGTACCAGATATTGATCCGTTTATTCTAACATTCAAGGTCGATAGTATAGTTTCCTAGTGAAATAACGGCGTAAGATAAGGCAAAAAAAAGAAGAAAAAAAAAGCAAAATTATAGAAGACAATAGGTAAATTAAACACTGCTCGTACCTTTACGCTTTGTCGGATTCCATCATCGAGATTCCCACGTAACGTTTCCTCCATACGTAAATGTGGGATGAGTATCTCGCCGACAGTTTGCGCGAAATAGGTCAACGTATTCATTTTGTCGGTGAAAGCGACTAAAAATCCGACTTAGTTACGTCACACTTCGACTAGAAAATATACCGAAGCCAAGTGGTAAACGTGGCAACAGCGATGCCAAAAATGACGTCACGGTCTCGCTACGTGCGAGACTTTTCGACGACGCCGAGAGGAATGCCCGTTACTTAAATCACTACAATTACTCGTACCTTACGCCACTATTTGAAAACAATGTGCAACGCGCTGCCATTAAGTCGAAGGAAACGTAACGATCCGCACCGGCAAACAAGCGTAGCCTCTTCTTGTCTTTTTTTTTTTTTTAACGCTATTTAGATATTCTCCTAAACTTAAAAAAATCTTCTTTCCTCTCCAATAAAAATATCAAATGTATAAATAAATATTTTCCGATCCAGCGTAAACAGACGGATCTCCATTAAAAATGCAACGCCGTGTAAACACTGCGAGGTACGGTAATGCTCTCGAGCCAACTTGCAATGAATCGACTAATTATGAGAATTTTGTAAAATTTCGCTTGTTATAACAAAATAAATAAAGTTGAAATCGAATTTCTAGTTAATTGGGTCAATTAACTGCGTCTGAAACTTCCGATATTTCTAACCCGATAGACAAGGGAAACATAACAAGCGACGGTTCGTTAGAAAAATAGAAAATAATATATTCTTAAGCCCATTGTCCGGTTTAGACTTCGTATAACACAAGTCGAACACTACCGAAGTGACATTTTAAACACGTGACTCGAACTAAAATCGGAATGAAGTAATATTTCACGGCATCAAGTTCAAGGCTAACTATCTACTCGACATATTTTCTTTAGTGAAAGCTGAATCGACTCGAGTGAATGAAAGGAAAAATATAATTCAGTTTGTCCACAAAATAAATGACAAAACATCCTCTAACGCAATTGCCGGATTTCCTATATATCGAACAATACGTGGGTTAAGTGTATGCCGCTCTTAACAATTAAAAATATTTTATCTATCGAGGTCGACCAGTTGTCTAGTCGTATATTATTTCTTTAAAAACAAAATACGATATTATTCAAACTCGAAAGAAACAAAAAATTATAAAAAATCTCTAATTTTTCTTCCTAAATTATTTATCACGTGACTCAACCAAGCGCGTCCATTCGTCGCACGGTCTAACGCAGACGACCCGATTAGCATACAGGAAACGTCATTCGAATTTAAATTTTTTTTTAAACGAACGATAAATGATTTTGACAAATATTTAATATCGAAGAATGTCAACGGACAATTTTTAAATAATTTTAAACTACGGAAACGCTATTGATAATAAAATGTTAAAATAAATTCATCGACTTAATTAAATTGTCCGATTATCCGAGCAACTTTTAATAAATGTTAATTAGTAACAAATTAGCTTAATAATTTATCTGTAATAAACCAATGTAAAATTCTCAATTAACCGTAAAAGTGTATAAATAGGGATTTTCGATCGATGATTAATTAATTTCGAGTGTCGGATATTTGGAAGTTAAATTTGTTTGAAGTGGAGAAATGCACTAGAGGTCGCGACTTA